TTTATTTTTTGAAGGTTTTGTTTATGCTTCTCCTTATTTATTCTTCACAATATATATATATATATATATATATATATATATATATATTTTTTTTTTTTTTTTCCCAATAGCCAAGTTTAAAAAAAACTGCTATCAAAATAGCTTCAGCTGAAATAAACACAAACTAATGTAACTAAAAACATCAGATAAAAAGTCACCTAGAGAGTATATTCAAATATCTTAGATCACTGGGGGTACAACGTTATTCAAGCAAGCTGTACATGTATGTAAAACATAAAAGCCACCAACAGAGTAGATCAGCACAACATCTTTTATTCAAATAGTTAAGCATGGTGGTGGAAGGGCGATGATTTGTGCTCATTTTGTACACAAAATTTTGTCTCCTTGCTGTCTTTATATGAACAACAAACTCCTTTGTTTATCAATGTTTTCTAGAGTAACAGGTGGTGCCAACTTTCTGTTAACAGAAGTATTAATTTTGTCTCATTTTTAGTCAGTTGGAAAATGGAAAAATCTGCTGTTTGGGATAGTAGAAATATTTAACAATCAGCTTCTAGATTTTATTCCCTAGTAAGAAGCAAAATGTTTTTTTAACATAATCATTGTCATATTTTATTAAAATAAAGGTCCCTGTAGGTGGTCAAATCCTGTAGGAAATGTTTACATGAAGAACAAAACAGTAAAAAAAAAAAAAAGACAGGTATTTCCAAGTTTGAATGTTTGTCCAAACACCTTTTGAGATGATTATAGTTTCTGTCACTTTACAATCTGTTCTGTCACACACTCACCCTCCCAGGAGGAACAGCACAGCAAAGCATCATAGACCACAGTCAGTGAGTCGAGACCTCTAATGAGCCATTTGCTGAGATGACGCTTCCAACTGTGCAGTTTAGGTGACATTTTAACATATTAAAATAAATGAGGTAAAAAAGGGTAAATAATCTATAATGTTCATATATTAACTCCATAAATGCCACTTTTTTATAAGATGTGTTTTATTTAGTGACAATAAAGTGAAGCTCCAGCTCCATTAACTAAAACTGAATTGATAAAGTAGGCAGAAAGTAGGGAACTAGTGAAATAGAGGCCGTGCGACAGTTCCTAACTTATATTTAGATGACAAGCACCTTTTCTATTGGTGTGGCTGTCTTTGTAGGTTTTGCAAACTACATCCACATGTAGCTAAGTTAGAAGTGTCACACTACCCAGACTGCAGATGCAATGCATATTCCAAAATTAATATGTGAAGCTGTTTATGAAGGGCTTAGCCATCAGCTCACACCAATATACACAGATACAGTAAAGATATGATGAAGTTATTTTTTTCAGCATGAAAAGGGAAATTTGTCAGAGTTTATGGGAAGATGGGTGAAGATAAAAACAACTGTGGAAAACACTGAAAAAGAGCTGAAACTGAGGTGAAGGTTCAACTTCCTGCTGAACTACAACACAAAGCCAGAGCTACAACAGAATGGTTTAATAAAAGGATTTTTATGTGTTACTTTGTCCAGATCAAAGCTTAGACGTTAATCTAACTGAGAGTCCATAGAAAGACTTTCTTCATCCAGTCTGAGGTTGAACTGTTTTACAAAGACAAACAAGAAGTTATAATTTCAAAAGACTGCTGACTGT